TCTCTCTCTCTCTCTCTCTCTCTCTCTCTCTCTCTCTCTCTCTCTCTCTCTCTCTCTCTATCGTGTATTTTTTAACTCCCATAAGAATAATCATAAAATTGAAATATTTGAGTTCAATTTTTAAATTTTTAGCATATAAGGATATTTTAAACTACCATTAATAAAATATAAAATGACCTGTCATATTTATTTTAATTTATTCATAAAATGATATATTACATGATGTGCAATAGATTATTGATGTTTTATTTAGTTACAATGTGCATTCCGGAGAAATATTCAAAGGAATGCGTGAAAATGATGGAAGAGTCGGCAAGCAAAGGTTTTCCAATATCATGCATTGCCGGACGTGATCGATATGATTGTATCGAGAGAGTTGGTAGGAAGGAAGCAGATATTGTCGCTGTAGATCCAGAGGACATGTATCTCGCAGCGAAAAATAAATTAGCTGAAAAGGCTGGATACAATATCATCGAACAGGTGATATATTCAACACAAAAAATACTCCGAAATTTAAATTAAAAAATAATCATTAAAAAATTTTTAATCATAAATCTGACTTAGAAAAAGCAAACTTAAAATAAACTAGAAAAATAAAAAAAATGTGACAGAATTTGAATGTAAAAAATTCAAAGAACACGATTTTTTTTCATAAACATTATTTCTCTAAAATAAAAAGAAATTGTAATAAAAAATTAGAAATAAAAAATTATCATGTAAATGTATAATTCACATTGTATGTTTTCATATGTATGTTTTCAATATATAATTTACATTGTATGTTTTCACAAATTATTTTTTTTAATTTATTTGATTATCTAATGAAACAAGAATTCTTTCTAAAAAATATTATTTGTTGATTTAAAACTTTTTGCAGGTATTTTATGATCTCTTGAGAATAAAATATTTAATGAATTATAACTAGAAATTAGACTGTGTGATAAGAACAAATTAAAATAGATTTTTTTGATATTTAATAATATGCAAAATTTTGGCAAATACATTTTATGTTCTAAACAGCAAGTCGATCGATTGTCCGGCAGAATATTTAGTTAAGAATATAAATTGTTGGAAAAAAAAGATTTTTTTTCTGTTAGGTGAGAACGAAGGAAGAACCCGATGCGATATATCGTTACGAGGCGGTAGCCGTGATACACAAGGACCTGGACATTAACAACGTTCAGGGCTTGAAAGGTCTTAAGTCCTGCCACACTGGTGTGGGCCGTAATGTCGGTTACAAAATTCCCATCACGAAGCTCACCGCGATGGGCGTGTTGACTGACATCAACAACCCGGAATATTCCGCTCGCGAGAATGAACTTCGCGCTCTAAGCACACTCTTCGACAAAGGTTGCTTGGTGGGCACATGGTCACCCGATCCTGCCATCAATCAGAGACTCAGTAAGTGGCGGTAATCTTCGAAATTTGCGGCGATTGTGTCATATATAGGTGAACTAGCAAACAATATCATCAGCTGAAATAACGCGTACTTAAAGCGACTCGCTTCTTTCGAGATACTAATTTTCTTGTGTTTATATGAAGTCAATTTGCAATCGTGCGAGTTAAGGTGACCGTGGCTCAACAAACTGCGATGCGAGTGGAGGAGTTACGTTAGGTAGAAAGTAAAATTACGTTACGCAACTATTTCTTCTGATTGCAGTTAACTTATTTTCTTTTCCACATATGATGAAATAATAAAATAAGTATACATGCGTTTTGATAGATGCATCGTAAAATGCACTCTGAGTTTTATCCGATATTTATTTTTATTATGTTTATAAAATTTGATGTATATTTAGAATTTATCCATGTGGAATTGTATTATAAATAAATATTCTATTTAAAGAGAATTATTTAAACGATAATTGAAAAGTTAGCTGTTAATTTTTTAATTAGATATTGTATGAATATTTCACTATTACATTAATATTGAAGAGGACCTAGTTAGGTTGAAACGTCCTGCACATTAAATTTATATTTGAAATACCTATATTCTATGAATTAAAGAAACATTTTTTTATTTGTTCACGTTGATCGAATTATTCTATCTGTGTTATTTTACTATTACTTTCGATCTTTTAGAGGAGACGTACAACAATATGTGTGCTCTATGCGAGAAACCAAACGTGTGCGATTACCCGGATATATACTCCGGATACGAAGGAGCTCTACGTTGTCTGGCTCATAACGGCGGCGACGTTGCCTGGACGAAAGTCATCTATGTGAAGCGTTTCTTCGGTCTCCCCGTCGGAGTTACTCCGGCAGTGCCGACATCCGAAAATCCGGCTGATTTCCGGTACTTCTGCCCAGACGGCAGCAAAGTACCTATCGACACAGATACGAAACCATGCACGTGGGCTGCTCGACCGTGGCAAGGATACATGACCAATGGTGCTGATGCCAACAACGCGGAAGCAATTCAAAGAGTACGTGATCTGTTTCCTAAGAATCTATTTTACATGTTTTTAATGACTAATTGAATGTTACATGAAATAAGAACGAAATTGTCCGAAGCATAATTCCTATATTACGTAACGTAGTAACAGGTATTTTAAAAGATACATTATAACTTACGCGATAAAAGTATTATTGTTAATTTTAACTTCTAGAATTAGTTTTTTCAGATATTAACAAAAATTAACATTATTAAATAGTTAATTATCACTATTAATTAAATATTACCATAATAAAAATAACAAATGAATCTTTCAAGAATTCTAAAGAAAGATTTAATTAAGAATTAAAAAATGAGATAATCGAAAGGCTCAGTTGAATAAATCAAAAGAAACAAACAAAATATCAATATGAGCCAACACAAGTTATCAGTGTATACTTTTTATACAATTTCTTCGAAATGAATAATAAAACGTTTCGACCTACGGCTAAGGTCCTCATCTTCGATACAAAGTAATTCTTAGATCAATCATCATATGGTCTTTGTTTAATTTTGTCCATAATTTTAATACGTTAACTAAATATAAGCCAAACGTAAACTTGATTGGTATATTGGAAAAACGATCTGTGTCTAATAAAACGCATATTTCAGGCAGCGCAGATTTAAAAAGTAAGATAATCAAAAGGCTCAGTTGAATAAATCAAAAGAAACAAATGCCAATACGAGTTAAACCTCAACCGTAGATCGAGAAATGTACGTTTTATTATTCATTTCGAATAAATTGTATAAAGAGTACTGATAACTTGTGTTGGCTCATATTGGCATTTTGTTTGTTTCTTTTAATTAAGAAATTATATTTTTCAAATAACATATTACACTGCATTAAATAGATTGCGATTTAATTTTGAAACATTTTTCAGGAATTGACACAGCTAGGTCAACTTGGCGAAAATGAGAAGGCAAATTGGTGGGAGGATCTCCTGCTTCTCAACGAAAAAACTCTAGCTGTCGCCGCTCCGCCAGTATCACCGGAAGAGCATTTGCAAAGCGCAAAATACATGGACGTGATCGAAAGAAATTCCGGAGCACCGGAGAGGGACGCTCGCTGGTGTGTTTGGGACAAAAATGCGCTGAACAAATGTCGCAGCCTCGCTAGAGCCGCTTTCTCCAGGTATAGTCACGAAATACGCGTAAATGTCAATTCTCGATCAATTTAATTGATCTTGTGTTGTTTTGAAACAAATTTAATTTCTTTATTGTCTTATCATCTAAATCTAATTAAAATCCAAATTTGTGTCAGGTATAATTGTTTATTATCTAAAATCAAACAAATTTGGTTAATTAAAAGTCGAGAACATAAATACGAGTAAATGTGAGACCGATTTTATGCCTTGATAAAAATTACATTGTTTAGATTATGAAAATGCAAGTACTTATTGTACCTTGACATATATTACATATATTGTAATCATGTAATCTATATAGAGACGCCAGACCCAGATTTGATTGCATACTAGAAAAAGACGAGACTGCTTGCTTGAAAGCTGTTAGAGATAATGGAGCGGATATCACAGTAATCGACGGCGGATCAGTAAAACGCGCAATTAATGAATACAACGCGAAACCAATCGTTGCTGAGACATATGGTCAGGGATCTACGAAATTCAGCGAACGACCAGCACTTGCTGTTATCAAGAGCGGCTCCTCCATAAATGGATTGGGTATGATAAAAAAATGAATAAAAGATCTGCAATTTATAAACTCCTGTGTAAAATTATATGATAAAATATATAAGAGCAACTAAAAATTGGAACTAATTTTACATTAATAAAAATATTAATTTAACAAAAATATTGATATTGAGGCAAAAATTTTTTTAATGTATTATTTAAATCAATGATTAAAAATGTTTGCAGAAAATTAGCTGTATATAAATTTGAAAAAAGCTATACAAATTTATTTTATACATAACTGTCAACGTTCTCGTTCTCTCTCACAGGCGATTTTAAAAACAAGCTATCTTGTCACAGCGGTTACGTGGGTGATTTTGCTGGTTACTACGCACCAGCTTTTACACTCAAACTTAACAGCCTTATTAAAGAACCTAGCGAAATTGATACCTTCTTCTCTAAATCCTGTGCACCTGGTGCACCTCTCGATTCAAAATCCTGTCAACTGTGTGTTGGTATCAATACTGGTGACGATCAAACGAAGGAAGCAACGAAATGCAAACCTACAAATGCTGAATATTATAACGGCGGGAAAGGAGCACTCAGGTAATATCATCCCTTTATTACTTTTTATGCACGCATCTTTGGCTAATTTATATATAAATAAAGTAGGAACTATTCGATTTTACTTTTTCATTTAAAAAAAAATAAAATAAATTGTGTAAAAAGTGTTCTCAATTTGATAATACAAATAATAATGTATTTACAGAATTTAATTTTTCCTGTAGAGATAATACATTTAAAAAAATTTAATTTCTTTCAGATGTTTGAAGGATGGCAAGGGTGACGTTGCGTTTCTACCTTTAACGGCTTTGCAGCAACTCGGTAAACACAACTGTGTGAAATAAATTACATATACATGGAGGGGCATTTAAAACAGGTTACCTGAATAACTCGCTTGTTTTTGACAATAGAAGAAAAAGTGTCAAACAAAAGTTGCTTGGTTTCGAGGGGCACATAATGTGATGTCAATAATTGTTTTTTTGGTGGAGGCGCTAAAAAGATATGAAAGTCACCTCCACTTTTTTAAATGGAATTATGTAATTTTTTTTAGATAACGTGATTCCTCTAATTATTTTGCATATAAAAGTATTAAGGTAGAGATACCAAAAAACCAATAGTTTTCGAGATATTTTACACTTTATTTTGATACATATTGACACAAAATGTTAAATAACTCGTAAACTGTTGACTTTTTGATTATCGTACCTTAAT